GTGGGTGGTAGGTAGTAGTGGCAGGTGAGTGGTGGTGGGTGGTGGCAGGTGGGGGGTGGGTGGTGGGTGGGTGGTGGTGGGTCCTGGGTGGTGGGTGAAGTAATGTAATAAATGTGTCATAATGACTGAAATTAATAAAATAATTACAATTTATTATTTTAAATTTTGTGAAAAAATATTTGTACATATCCGTGTTTTTGACTTTTTGTTAAATTGTAAACAATTTGAAGGTTTTGTTATTAATTCGGTTTATCAATTTAATTTTTTTTCTTTTTACACCTTATTTTTTTTAATTTTTGTTCATATTAACTTTTTTTTCCCTTTTCATTAAAAAAAAAAGAATGTTTATTATTAATTTCTAACTTGTTTTATTTCATTTTAGAACATTAATTTAATTTTTCGTATTAATTGATACAGACAATTTTTTTTAATTGTTTAATTTTTATTCATTTTATTGAAATGAATGATTTGTTAGACATTTATTAAGTTCTATTTATTAATTTTTGTACAAATAATTTTTCCAATTAATTGAAACAGACAATTTTTTTTAATTGTTTAATTTTTATTCATTTTATTGAAATGAAGGATTTGTTAGACATTTATTAAGTTCTATTTATTAATTTTTGTACAAATAATTTTTCCAATGCAAAATCTTTTCGTACATATTGTTATAACATTGTAACTTGTTTTAGAATGCTTAAAAAAAAACACTATTTGTTATTCATGACATGAATGCAGAAGTTTAAAACAAATTAACAAAATAAAACAAGCACAACAAAATAAGAAAACAAATAACTGGAAAAAAAAAATTGAAAAAAAAAAACATGTAACCACTACATCTGTTTCACCATTTAAACTGATTTTTGAACAAGTTAAGCATCATTATCAGGTGGTGTTGGAGATGGAGGGTAATAGTGATGGTACTGCTGAGTGACTCGATGGTCAATCTGATCAATGTGGTTCCTTGTCACTTCATCATGTCTCCCTTAGTCTACACAAAACTCACTAAATTGTTGAATTAGTGAGTTCTGAGCGGCGGCAAATTCATCGAACCGAGTACCCAATGTATTGAGCTGATTAGCCATTTGTTGTTCCCATTGTAGGCTCTGATTGTACCGTTCTTGTTTCAAGGCTAAATAAACAGTCCGGTAATGGGGTTGTTCATTTGGTGGCATGGCATTGTCATTGGGTTCTTCCTCATCGGCTATTGGTTCATTTTCAATATTAATAGAGCCCATCAAGGTGTCAGCACCACCACCTCGGGTCAGTATGTACTCAGAAATTGGTGAAGTGATTCTGACATATCCTTCCCTTTCAAGATTGACATCATGCGCTTTGAAAATTATAGTTAACAAAGCTCCAAAAGGTAGTGACCGGCCAGACAGAGTATCGAGTAATATGAAGCATAAACCTAATTTTTGTCTAGTTTCAAAACAATATAATAAATAAACATTAAAACATGAAACAGTATCATAATAGCCTTTTTTTGGAGTGACATTTTCAACTATCCATCGATGAAGAATACGAATGTGGGGTTTTTAATATCTGGCTAGTAAATTAGTGCCGCTGAATCGGTTGTTACAAATTGTGGTATAAATCTGAGTGACATCACCAAACATTTTTTCTAAGGCAGACTCATTTTGAAAATAGCATTGTAAATCTCCTGTTTCAACTCCAATAATTTGTGTGAAAGCACAGAGACTGAGTGTGATTATTTTTCCATTCACATAGGAGGTCAGACTAAACGGTTCATTTTGTTGGTCACCAGCTGTCAAGTGAACATAAAATAATCGTACAAGACGGGGGTATACCTTATTTGGTAAATTAGTTAAAGGTAACCATCTTATTGTATCTAATTTACCAACTAAGAGCGGATCATATTGAGAATGTAGTCTTACATTTCTCCCCGTAACAATTGTCGATTAATAAAATGTGAATAGGCTTGTTCATGATGATACGTTAAAAAATCATTATTTGGATTGTCATGATGTTGTTGCCGTGGTTGATGTTGTACAGGGTTTAAGGATTCACCACGTTCGGGTCTAGTTCGTTTTGTTCTTGGCATGATGACTGCAACAGTGAAAGAAAAATGTATGAAAAATATATATTAAAACATATGAGTTAAGAAAAATGTATGGAAAATATATAAAAAATAGTATAATGTTGGTGTAAAAAAATGGAACAGATATGAAAAACAGGAACAGATCGGCAACAGATACAAAACTGATTTGCAATAGGAGACTGAGTAGACTGAGCATGAGTTGGTGGGAGATGGGATGACCGGCCAGTTGATCGCCCGGTTGTCCTTGTCGGACAATCTCTTCTTCCAATCTTCGAAAGCTACTCTAATCTTAATACTATCTGAAGCTACTCTAAATAAAATATGAGATGTGAAGCTAATATGAACTGGGATGAAACTAACCTGTAATTGAAATCTTCCTTCACACGGATACACTAAATTTAATTAATGTTCTTGATAGAGCTGAGATGGTGAAGATGGTGTGGTTAAAGGAATGAGAATTCAAATTTTATAGGAAGGCTGAGGTTCAAAAGGTTCAGCTTGTTTTTTATTTATTTTTTTACTTTTTATTTCTTATCTATTATTTTTTTATAATATTAATAATTTTTTAATAATAGTACATCTGTATACTGAACACACAGCTATGATATACATCGTGTCCCTTTTTCTTTGGCTCAATGTTGAACACACAGCTATGATATATAGGTAGTAGATAACTTAAATTACTAAATTACCCTTTTAAATTTGTTCTTATGTAACAACTTCCCATTTAAATGAAGAGGGACAAAATAGTAATTTTGCAGGCCAATTCATCCCAATTATATGAGCGTGCTGATTATGGAAATACAATAATGCTCCTTCAATAATGCATGGTCTGGTTTTTACTCCTTTATTAGTAAATTAATAACGTGTAATAAATGAGAAAAAAAATTGATAATGTTTTGTAAGGTTTACGGTATGATTTGTATTTTAACATATTAAACTTTTAGTGTATTTATGTTAATTTTTATTAATATGTATTCTCAAAAGTTGTTGACTTTAACAAAATTTTAAAAAAAAAATAAAAAACGTATTGTACAAGATGTTTGTACAGGCGTAAAAAATGAATTGACAGAAAAATTAATTGACACAAAATAATTGACATAGATTTATTTTAAAATAAAAAAATAATTTGAAAAAAAATTTATTCAACAAAAATTACTGAAAAAAAATTAATTGAAAAAAAATTAATTTTTAATTTCAATATTTTAAAAATAGTTTGGTTATTATTGTTGATAAACAATACGGATATCGATATATGAGTTGTGTGCTTGATTATAAATTATTGATTGAATTAAGTTTTGAAAACTATTTTGAAAACACATTACCAAACAAATTTTCTTATTTCACATGTCACATCAAACTTTCAAAACTTAATTCAAAATACATCTTCAAAACACATTTCAACACTCTATTTAAAAATCATAACCAAACAAATTTTCTACACTCAAATCATAATTTCACAACACACAAACTCAAAATACAACTCATACTCTCAAATCACATTTACAAAACTCTACCAAACGCTACCCAAGTCATTCAAGCTGAAGTTCAAAAATGAGCATATAATTGGAGACATTTAACCAACACCTTGATAAGAAAGAAAAGAAAAAAGATGAAAGAGAAGAAAAAAAAGATTCAAGCATTGCAGGAGCTGAAGGAACTTGAGATAAAAAAACATGACTTTAAGATTAGAAGATAAGAACATGAGATTAAAAAGGAATAACATATGATAATGACTACGGACATTTCTTATTTGGATCCTCAGATGAAAGCGTATTACACAATGTGAAAAAATGAGAATTTTCCCAAGTGGTCCTCAAATAGTAGCCCAAATTACTATTTCCCCTACCTCGTGACAAATAATTACAAAATAATGTATTTTTAAATTTTGCAATGTCATTTATTTTTTAATGTAATTGTTAGTCTTTATTTGCAATGTCATTTTTTTTATTTTGTAATGATTTTTTTTTTATTTTTCAATATTTTCTACAATAGAATGTAATATTATTTTTGCAATGTATAATTTATTAAATATGTAGTGATATGTTTTTGGGTGGTGTGAATTATATTTAATTTTTTTTTCTAATTTTTCAAAAAAAAAATCATTTTTTATTCTAGTCGGGAATAATATAAATATATAATTTTTTTACAAACAGTTAAAAAAATGCGACAAAAGATAAAAAATAAACAAAAATAAAATCACAAAAAACTTATATCCAAACAACACGTACAAATTTGAAAGGAAAGTTGGTTGAGATTTGTCAAAATACAAATGACCATTGGAGTAACATTACTATAATTTGACAAAATAATATTATTCATTGCCAAATTATAGTAATAACAATAACATTATAACAACGAGTTATGCTAGAGACCTTAAATATTCTACCAAACCTCTCACATGGGTATGAGACTGACACACACGTGAATTTGTGTGTCTCACCCCATATGAAAGATTTAATAGAATATTTAAGATATATAGCATTTTTCTTATAACAACATTCATTGAAGATGCGATTTACATAATGAGGCAGGTAGAATGAGTTGCCAAAATAGTATATATTTGTTTCTTCAAAGTTATTAAAAAAAAAAAGAAAAAGAAAAAAAAAGCATGAATTAGATGACCAAATGAAAATATAAATAATTAAGGGATGTTTTAGAAAGTTGATGAGAAATTATTTTTTTTTATTTTTTTATTTTTTAATAATTTTTTTTTAGAAAATAGTCTATTTTTTTGACTAAAAAAAGTTGATTTTTTTAATTAAAAAAATTAAAAAACTAAAAACTGTCTTTTTCAAACTTCTTGTCAAACTGTCCCAAAAAGGGTTCAAATGCAAATTTACGAACCAGTATAGAAGTAATAATCGAGTACACCATCATACCGCCTATAATGGACAAGCATTCTTAACCGTATATATTTAAAACACAATCCTCACTCTCATTATTTTAATATAAAAAAATTTTAAAAAAATCTTTTATCGCTTCATTCGCGCTCTCTGGTCCTCTGCTTTTTTCCATCCCACAGTCCTCACCGGCGAAACCAATCCTCCGCCGGTGAGAAACCTCCAATTGCCGGAACCCTAGCTTCTCCGCCGCCTCTCTCTCTCCTCCACGCCACTACTCAAAATCACTTTCTCTCTCTAAAACATGGTCTCGATTCCATTCGTCTCCTTCACGCCACTACTCAAATCGCACCAAAACGCCTCCGAATTAATCCTTTTTTTATCCTCTCCTACTCCGAAATCGAAGGCTCTCTCTATAATAGCCAAGCGAAGAAAGTCTCGCTTTGTGACCGAGCTCTCGAAGAGCTCCAATGGCGGTTCGCTATCGGCATTCGCGTGCTCGACTTCGTCACCGTTCATCGGAAAAGTTGGACTTCAGAGAAGAGAAGGTAACTTCTCGTTGCTCTCCTTCGGTACAAACCCTAGCCACGCGTCCGAAGTTGCAATGAAGTCTGATTCTTCGCAAATTCTCTCTGCTATGCTTCCGTTCGTCGTCGCGCTCACTGCAGTTGCTGCTCTCTCTCAGCCTTCGACTTTCACTTGGTGAGAATTATGTTTTTACCAATTTTTTAACAAAATTTTAATTAACAAGGCTTTCAATTGCTTATGCTTATGCTCATGTCTAGTGCAAATTATTCTTCATTCACTTCATGCCAATCTCTATTTGTATTTACAATTTTTTGGAATTTTATATTTTCTTCAGATAATAAAATATTGAAGTGTGTGAATTGTAATATAATATTTTTATACTATATTGTTGTATATAATTGTTTTTAGTTTCTTCTTCTTCCGTTTACCAATTACTCATATTTTTGTAATCTAAAACTGAATGAATTGAATTCCAGAAATTTCAAATCTTCTTAGTGTTGTCAAGACCGCCTAGTATTGTTAGCCTTACTTATTTAAGGCTTGTAAGCAAGGTTTCAAAAAGTGCTTGTAGTTGCTGGTTGCGGTGGCGTGGTTGCGAAATATAAAGACCATATTATAACGGTTGCCTTAATTAGAACCGTGATTTTTTTTAATTTTTCGTACAATTTGAAGAAAGTTTACCCATATGCATATTTTTTTTCCTCTATGATCACATTTATTAGGGTTTAAAATAGATTTTGATCAATTTTTGTTAATTTTTAAGTATGATCTAATATATTTCATATTTTCAAACCACTATAAAATGAACTTTTTACATTTTATTTCAATAATTAATGACTTTAAGAATAATTTATTTTAAATGTCTATGAATTATTTTTGATCAATACGTGAACTAATTGAATAAAAAATATTCATAATTATTAAATGAAATGATTATAGAAATAAAAAATTATGCCACAAACAAAAAATTATTTTTGAGACATTTTTTTAGACAACACCTTATAAGTAACTAAATAAAATTATTTACAATTAAGTAAGAAATGATTATAAAAATAAATATTGTGCCATAAACAAAAAATATTTTTGAGTTTTTTAAAGACATTTTTTAGACAACATATTACAGTAACAAAATAAAAAATATTTATAATTAAATATTAAATAAAATGATTATAAAGATAAATATAACTACTGTTTATATATATATTATTTTACATGCTAATGTAATGAAATAAAAATTAAAAAAAATTATAAAGAAAATAAATTCATATAAGATTTTTTATTTGGGCTTGGCTCACTTGAGTTTTTGTTCTTTTTTTGTAAGTTTTTATTTTTTTTTAATTTTTGAGAAAGAAAGTTATTTAGAATATTGTAAAAGAGTGTAATAGTGTGTATCGGACTGTTACTACTGTTGCGGTACCGCTACGATCGTTACGTAACACCAAAATGGCCATTATACATGTGAATTTTCGTCATACCGCTATAGCGGGCGTAACGGGTGGTAGTAACCACCACTACCATTCCGTAACGGTTACGGTCGCTTTTAAAAAGAGATTCTTCTGTCGAAATTATGTACTTGAAAGTTTGCTTCTTTTCAGTGCAATAAATAGTTTGAAGTGGATAAGGATTTAGTGTGGTCAATATTTATTGGTTTTTATTTTGTCTTTGTTTTCCCTAAGCCTTGTTTTTAATTCTATGGCATATTTTTCAAAAGATAAATTTTGGCTTATGTAAATAATAGAGGGAAACTGCAGGGTGTCGAAGGAATTGTATGCCCCTGCTCTTGGAGGGATCATGCTGTCGATTGGAATTAGACTATCCATTGCCGATTTTGCTCTTGCATTTAGAAGGTCACATCTTTTGCCATGGATTTCCAAATTTGGTGATACTTTGAATTTGCCTTTAAGTTACTTGAAATTTTATATGGTGCAGACCTCTAGCTCTGTCTATAGGGTTTATGGCACAGTATCTGCTGAAACCAGCTCTTGGTGTGTTTGTGGCAAGGGCATTCCAAATGTCTCCAATGTTCTACGCTGGTTTTGTCCTCATGTCTTGTGTTGCAGGGGCTCAGCTATCCAGCTATGCCAGCTTCTTGAGCAAAGGGGATGTGGCCTTGAGCATTCTCTTGACCAGCTCAACCACCATCGCATCAGTTCTTGTTACTCCACTTTTAACTGGCCTTCTCATTGGGTCTGTTGTTCCAGTCGATGCAGTTGCCATGTCGAAGTCAATTTTGCAGGTATTCGAAAACCTAGGGGGATGTGTTTGTTAGATTGGATCCAATAATCTTGTTCCTGAATTGGTTTTGATTATAGATTCCCTGCATTGCCAGGTTGTTCTTGTTCCAGTCACTCTTGGGCTCGTGCTAAATACTTATGCAAAACCCGTTGTAAATATTCTTCAACCTGTGATGCCATTTGTTGCAATGGTTTGTACTTCATTGTGTATTGGCAGCCCTCTTGCTATTAATCGGAGCCAAATTCTTTCAATTGAGGGTCTGCGATTGGTTGGTCCTGTGTTGACATTTCATGCAGTGGCATTCACCTTGGGATACTGGATCTCCAAAATTCCAGTTTTTAGGTAATTTTCTTCTTGCACAGCTTGTTCAAATGTGAGACTTATTTAGTGCAATAGCACAGCTCCTTGTATTTCCTTTTATTTCAAGAAAAATGTTTCCAAGAATTGTTGTGATCTTGGTCGAGTAACCATTTGTATAGTGCCCACATCACAAGGTTGTGTACACAAGGAATATGTATTATATGTGGTAGAGAATCGAAGCCAAGCACCATATTCTATTTCCTAGTGTTGAAATCTAGACTAGTGAAAATAATTGGCATATTTGGTGAGGCAGATGCATGTAGAATGATAGGATCTATTTCAGGGGTTTCCATAATTTCGGCTTAAATTCGTTGCATAAATGAACAACTTGTGTTTATAGCTATCTTCTAGGCAGAATCCATGTGACACCATGTTGCCCCATGCCCCGATCATGTTTTTTTGAGTTCAAGCTTTGGTCTTTTAAGCTAGCGAAACATGAGTGGTGGGACTTTTTGTAATAATTTAGAATGGATGTTATATATTTGTGAGGACATGGAGTGCATTAATGGAATTTCATTCGCATTTCTTATTGTTCTTTTTTTAGATTACCGAAACAGGTAGCAAGAGATAGTAAGTATGAAACTTTTGTTGTGTATCATATATGTTTCCCTTCTATTTTCTCTTTTCTATCCTGCTCTGTGTAACATTTAATCCTACTGATCTCACCTAGTTGTTAGGTCATGCATGTTTTTGAAATCATTTGACTTCAAATTGGCGGTTGCTTGTTTTCAAACTCTCAAATCCTCCTCTTGGGGTTGAATAAGGGTTTAATCCTACTGACCTCACCTCGTTTTTCACATGTTGTACACTTTTGGAAGACAGAGACACTTTGTTGATGAACTTGAACACCCTCAAATACCAATTTATGCAGGCTTATATTGTTATTCTTGCATTTGATTTCTCATATGAACGTAAACAGTGGCTTCGCCAAAAATCATGTTCTGAAATAAGACTTCGAACACCAATGACCTTCATATGATAATGCTGCATATTGTCGTTGAAATTTTGTGTTCAAATTCTGTCTAATAATGCATTGGAAATTGTGGCAGGCAAAAAGAAGAAGTTTGCAGAACAATTTCATTGTGCACAGGAATGCAAAGTTCTACATTGGCAGGGCTTCTTGCCACCCAATTCCTTGGGAGCAGTCAAGCAGTTCCCCCAGCATGCTCAGTAGTTGCCATGGCTATCATGGGCCTTTGTCTTGCATCGTTCTGGGGCAGTGGCTATCGAATCAGAGACATACCATCACTTTTCATCCCACAAGCTGGTTCTACAGTCAACGCCTAGTGAAGCATCATCTAGAGGATCTCCACAAAACCGACCTAGCTAATTCAATACATGCAGAGAAATGTGAACATGTTGGTTGCGACAATCTAATTTATAATGTTAGAAGATGGCTGTGATCATGTTACCTATCACAAGCAAGTCCAGTGACAAAGAGTACAAACAGAGTGAGGAAGAGATGACAATCTAATTTATAATGTTAGAATATGGCTGTGATCATGTTACCTATCACAAGCAAGTCCAGTGACAAAGAGTACAAACAGAGTGAGGGAGAGATGAAAATGTAAAGTGGGAAAGAGGGTTGTGGATGGAAGCAGATGGTTTTACAGTTAGAGAGGAGTTCATATGTACCAGTTGCACCTATATAGTTAAATATGAGGTATATTCAATAGAAAAGTAGTGCCACATAAAATCACTGTACCCATGATTTGCTTATGTGTGTTCATATACCTCGTCATATCTCACGATCTGGCTTCATAAACTTACTCCCCGAGTTTTGGGTAACCAATTATGAGAGAACACTCAACATTCAATTAAACAAAGACAATTCATTAATCATGTGTTCACAATTTATACAAATGAAAAGGTTGAGATATCTTTTCTCAGAGAATATCTAAAAAATCTTACTCTTGTCGTGTTTCTAACAGAAACTAATATGATGTTGTTTGCATCACATTTTATTTTTCTGTCGATCGTGACCTATTAATTATAATCAAGTTTGACTATGGTCTATCGATTGAAATCATAAACTATTTTAAAAAAATAACCTTCACCACATTTGTTTTCATTATTATTATTTCTTTCGACAGGCATGCTAACGTAGCATGACAGATGTGTTGGGAACATGACATGATGACATGTCAAATGAAGGGTTAGAAAGTTAGCAATTTGAGCAATTTGAAAGTTAGCTGTTGAGATCAAGGAGCCAAGATCAAATCAAGCACCAAATCTGCAAAATGGTTCCTATCAAACATGGGATATGAATAATGTTGAGAAAATCTTGAACTTGTTGAGGAAATCATGGGCTTAGGTTATCTCTTTCACTCATGTGGCTGAGCCTATAAATAGGCCAAGAGATTAAACTAGTAGCTTTTTCAACCCCCTATTTCTCTTCTTTCTGTCGATTGTTGTATTTACTTAATTTTTTTTGTTCTTGTTTAAGTTCTTATAACTAGTGACAAGTGACAGTTTATTCGAATTAATACATAATATGTTCTGTTCCATTTTTTCTTTACTTAATTACGTCCAGGGAAATTCTTAATCTGTTTAAGGCATAGGAATCAACCACAAAGTCTAATGTTTTTGTGTTTATTAAAATATGTTTAAGTCTGTCGATCAATCACTGTCGATTGGGTCTAAACCGAATTTTTGCTAACATAAATTGGCACGCCTAAAAAAGTGCACTTATTTCATCTTTTTATCTTTTTTGGGTCACATCAATCAACATCTCATCTCTACTTTTTCTACACATAATACAAGAAAAGTCAAAAAGTACACTTATTTAGTCTTCCCAAACTTGGCCTTAGAGTGATGATAATGAAGAAGCAAACTTACTTTTATGAAATCATGCCTTCAATAGGTATGCTTACATCTTGCACACCCATAGATACAAACCGCCAATGGAGTGACAGTATTCCCATGGAAACCAATTATTAGTGGAATGCCGCATATTCTAAAATTTACCAGTGTTATGGTGGTAGTTCTACCGCTTACTGTCAACATAATTAATGACATGACAAATTATGTAAAAAAAATGATTTGGCATTGTAAGGATGAAATTTATTGGCGCGAGAGTGAAATTTTAGACTTAAAAAAAGAAATTAATTCTTTTTATAGGCAAAGATTTTAAATAATTTCATCATCTCTGTATTATTTGACGCAAAAAGATTTAAATTACTGTGATGGAAAAATTCATCGACTTAAAGGTCAATTTTTTCTAATTGATGAAGAAATTCTATATTGGAAGCAAAAATTAGAAGGCATAATGGCTAATGAAAAATTAAGATATGAAAATAATGTGACTCATACGATTAATACACATATTTTTGAAAAGCCAATTAATCATTCATAAAAAGCCAAGGTATGTGACTCGAAGGGGTAGCACAAGAAGCCATGAAGACAATATGATTTTGGAGAATTTTCATAGGCCATCAATGGCTAAAATTAAAAAACACCCCCTTTGGAGAATTTTCATAGGCCATCAATGGCTAAAATTAAATAACACCCCTTTCACTCAAAAAATATTGAGAATTCTAATAATAAAGGTTCACGTATGGGGGCATGATGTGTTGCCAAACGTGATAAAAAGTGACAAGCCATTAATGACTAAAAAAGAAGAACAACATCTTCTTTAAAAAAATGTTAAAAAAATATCACAAAATGATGGTAAAAATTTACTTGGAGGGCATGATTTTAAGCCAAAGATGGCTGAAAATTATGAACTTGGGGGTATATGATGAACCCACGTTTATTGAATGTGAATTTTTTGACATTGTTCAAAGTATCAAAATTTATGAATTTTTCATAACATTCAATTATGTGAGTTTTGGGATCCAACATCCACTTTGGATTTGTGGATCACACAAAAAATTAATTTTCACAACATGGTTTGAAAAATAACAATGGTTGAAAAATGTTGTATGTAGTGAATTCTCTTTAATTAGCCAAAATGTGGCTAATAGAGAATTGTTTTATTTTAAAAATAAGAAATGTGACTCTTTTTTATGTCACTCGACAGAGTCAAAGATGGAGTGTTTGCCAATCGACAATGATAGATTAAAAATTACTATGGGTGTGACATAACTCTTCAAGAATTTGAATTATTTACACTATAAAATATTTTATGTCGATTATTATTCAATCCATTTAAATGTTTAGGGCATTGTCTGCACCACATTTTCTTTTTTCTGTCAATTGTGACCTATTAAATATGGCCAAGTTCAATTATTGTTTGTTGATTGAAATCATAAACTATTTTCAAAGAATAACCTTGACCACATTGTAGACGTCCCCGAACGCCCCGGGAGGGTGGAGCTCCCTTTCTGTTCATTTGGGGTTCACTACAGTTCGGGACTCTCAAATTGTCACGGTTCTAAATCTGAACCAAAGAGTCCAAATCCGGCAAATCGTTTTGAGAAAACAGATTTTTTTGAAAGAAGTGCCAAACATAGACTGCTTTGCCAGATACAGAGTTGACGTCCATCTGAGGTTGGCTGGGGATGATGATTTCATTATGCCTACTGATGACTCCATGCCTTTCCCTGTGGTAACCTTCATTGAGTGTGGACTTCGGCTCCCACTCAACATCCTTTTCCGTGAAATACTTCATTATTACAAGTTGAACTCGATGCAATTTTCCATCAATTCCTATCGAACCATCAATGGTATCATAGCCTTAGCCAAACAAGAAAACGCTAGGATCACTTTAGCCGACATCCAATATAGCTATACTATGTGTGGCTTTAAAAAAGACACCGGCTATGTTTACTACCTCAAGCCGAGGTCCACTGAATACAAAATTGTTGCCGACCTCCCTGACTCCAACAAGGGAGATGGGGACGATTATTTCATTACTTCGGGGAACTGGGAGTTCGCCCCAGATGAAGACCTCTATCTTTTCCCTCTCCTTTGATCAGTCTTTGTAGAAGGCAATGGTAAGAGCCCTGCATTCATACCTACTTGTTTTTTAAAGTCTTTCATACTTTATCTATTTCTTAACGTCTGTTTTTCTTGCAGCTGTTCCTAAGCCACCAAAAAACTTTCATCAATCCTTCATTCCCAAAAAAACTTTTGCCCTCTCCCGCATGTGCGGACCGGCCTCCCGCACGTGCAGCTCCCACCTTCGCACGTGTGGTCTCTCCCGCACCTCCACTTCCGCACCTGCCTTTTATGCAGTGTGCACACAGCCCTCTCCTCTGCTTCCTACACGTGCAGCCTAATCTCTTGCACATGCGGCCCCTCTCCCACACGTACGGCCCTAGCCCCCACATGTTCGGCTCTAGCCTTCCAGCTCATAAAAGCCTCGACTTCTTCCCTGACCCTCCGAAGTCGACCTCGCACCTTTCGGGACAAGTGAAAACTCGGAATTTGAAACAAACAAGAACGAAAAATTCTGTGGAGAAGTTCTCAAAAACAATGTACTCAACTATTGACTGGATCACACTTTGAAACCCGACACTTTAACGAAGGCAAATCCGACATAACTGAAGAGAACAAGGCAACTCACGTACCAGTCATCACAACCTCCCCACCTTAGGAAATTTCGTCCTCGAAATTAAACAACACCGAAGAAAAGCTAACACTTCTTGAAGAAAACAAGGTACCAAGGAGGACCTCCTAACCAATCAAGGAAACATGACACTAACTCCTGGCTATAATCAAACTTGGAATACCAACCAGACTCTGGGCTTGACCTCTCGGAGCTCCCAGGACACCCGACTTACCGAGGACACAAGAAAGAGATTAAGGACGTCTCCTCGACCCATACCACTTGTTGGGCCTATGAGACAAGAACAACAACAACCAAAGCAACAACGCGCATACCTAGGTCATCCACCACCACATGCCCAAACATTCCCGAACACTTAACACCCCAACATGGAGAGAAAACGAAGTTTTCACCATAAGATCCTTGGTTAACTCACTAAAAAGGAAAGGATTACAACAAAACCCGACCTAAGGCAAGACTACGGCCTAACAAGCTCTTACAACTCCAATCGATCCACATAACCAAACATACAAATCCAAGATTTGGCAATTCAAATAGAGTGGTTACACCATCCCAACCATAAGGATATAATAACCATACAAATCCAAGATTTTCTAATCATTTTCTCAACTCTTGGTGAAAATCATTTCTTTGCATATAAAACATTTTCTTAGAGGTGCTTAAAAGTCACACCCGTCACAAGTCAAAAATATATTTTCTGCCTTTCAAGCAAGACCCAAATTTTATTCATTTCCAATTTTGTTCCAAGTAACAAATGGTGAGTCTCTACTTTCACCCAAATATGCCCATCACTCACATGGTGATGCCACAACCAACATCAACATAACATTTCTACAATAATAATTAATAGAGATAACAACTGTGCCATTAACAGAAGATACGACTATCATGCAATTTCATTCGATCATGATCATTATTATTACTGCGCAAATTATTGTCCACACAAGGTAACCAAACGGGCACATAAACTAGTTACAATGAGGATTGTTCACATCATCCTAAAAGAAACCTCTTTTCTTCATTTATACATTTTCTCAAAAATTCACTTAGATTCATACAGTTTTCCAAGAAAAGATTCATGTCATAAACTTCGAGTAAAACCAATTTATTTTGTAATTATTTTCCCAAAGCAAACTTTAAAATCTCACCCCACGGGTTTTAGTTGAAATAGAAATGCCATGAAAGTTTTCAAAAACTGCCAATCACTTTCCACTTTATCTCCTCAACAACAACCAGTGAATCTCGACCATCACCCAATCACATCCTTTACACTTACAGTGACTTCAAAGTGCGACAATTACATTTCCATAACAG